AAGACGCTGACTCAAGAGTAAGGGCGGTTCAAGCTTAGCGCCGAGCGCGAGGAATCCAAGACGCTACGTCGTCAACGAATAAGTCCAGCGGCGTTATCTTGTTGGGGTCGGGGGCGACAGCTCGGTGGCCTTCTCGCGCGCCGTACAGAATGCTCAGGTAGCTTGCCCAAGCGACTGCTGGGTGCTCATGTACGGCAAGAACGTAGCCGCTGCGGTTCAAGTACCAGACGTTTCCTGTTCCCCCAACCTCGCACCTGTATTCACCGTCGCCTGACGGCCTATGGGCGACGACTCCGGCCATAGCTTCGCCCAGCTCGCGTAGATCGCTGTCGTAGCTGCGAGAGGGTAAGTTGAGGCGAATGAGCTCTTGGCGCGTGCGAGGGCGGGACGCCGGAGGGTCATCGATAGTTCCCGGAGAGCTTTGGTTCAGATGGTCTCTAATTAGGGTCAGCTGAGTTTGTCTACGACGACAATTTCGCGCACAGTTTCTGGCGTATGAGCCTCTCTAGTTGCAATTCAACGCGCTGGCGCTCTGCCGCGTTGAAGAGCTCGGGCCCCCAGGACACGGAAGGCGGGAAACGTGCCTGCAGGCGCCAGACGACTTCGTGAACAACTGCCCACTGATCCATCTCTGCTAATCTGTAGCGCATGGCGGCGGCGTGTTGAAATGAGGTCGCTCGGACAACATCTCTTACTTATATCCCAGTAGAACCCGGTGGATCAACTTGCCCGATTCAAGCCGGCGCTTCGATCAGAACTGGTCTTCACACACACCTCGCCGTGTTAGCGCCACTAGATGTCTTTACTAGCCCACCGCTACCGCACAGCTGGCTCCGGGGTTTCGGCGCTACGCTTACATCCACGACTACTAAGTACACGCGACCCCATCAGCACTTCGCGTTGCCATGAACTCAACGAGCACAAGCAGCCTTCCTATAACCGATAATCTACACATGCAGCTCCTCTAGAAGCGCGAAAAGTTTACGCGAGTTCTCCGCGACGCGCTCAGGCCGTGAGCACAAAACGATCCTTGAGTCGCGGATGACCTCCATAACTCGCTGCACCTTCTCTCCGTCCAGGTGAGGGGAAGACTGTAACAACTCTTCTACCCTCGACCAATGGGCGATGTCAGCGATGCAGTTCTTCACATTGTCCTGCGACATTCGCTCGTCCACAGACGCCCACAATTTACAAACGCCGGAATGCTTATTTTGCCAGTCGCTGAAGTGACGTACGTCAACCTTGGTTAGGCGGGAATTCTTCGTGAACTCACCCTTTCTGGCAACGCTCGTTGCAATAAGCTGGGCGCTTACAGCCCTTACAAGCACGACGCTTTGGCAATGCGGTCAAGTCTTGACCGCAGTGCGCGCAGCTATGAGAGCGATCGGGCCAGATGTCGCTGACGGGCCGCAGCGCAAACAGTTGGTTTATCGGCAAGTCACGAACGAGCGCGTCCAGTTCTGACCTAGGGAGAGGCGCCTGCATGAGACCTCCAGGGAAGAAGAGCGAGAGCGCGAACGAGTGCTGCTGGATCATTCCGTCGAAGCCGGGAACAGACCGCTCCGCCAGGCAGAGGACACTGAGCGGAGGGTGGTATGTCTCCAAACCGAATCTCTCATCCAGGAGAGAGTAGACGATACGGAGCCAATGTCTGGCTGCGGTGCGCCTGGTCTTCTGGAACCAGACGGTGGCTGCAGTACGGGAGAACCTGCGACGATTGTTGGTGAGCCTGGTACCTGGATTGTACGCGCAGGACTTGACGGGCTTACGCTTGGTGGTACGAGATCATCTGAAGAACCTCGGTGGCAAATTCTGCTATCGCTTGTCGCGCGTCGGCGATGTGCTGAGGGTTGTTCGACCTTCCGACAGCCTCTGCCATTTGGTCCATAGGGATCATAGCGGACAAGAAATCCTCGACCGTGTCGAATGTCGTTTCGTGCTTGCGGGGAGTCGTCGTTCGGGGTTCGGTGGCCGGCAGTTGATATAACTGAAACAGCCTCATAGCTGCCGGAAGCAAGTATCTCCATGCCTGGCAACATATCAACATGTTAACATACGCGCCAAGTCAACTTAAGTTGCCCTATTGCTTATACACACCTGGGGCTGCTGAGCGACGCGGTTTGCTAGTGCTTTGAGCACGACGTCGAGGCAAGGGTATAGTAAAGCCTTTCGAGGGCAACGAACGTCGTGCAGCTTCGCCTCGTTGCGCTCAGCACGCGCCAGGTGCTCTAGGTAGACGAGAAGCGTAGTGAGACTTGTGTCGGGGGTGACAGACTGAACACCGACAACGAAGTTGATGACGATAGGCATGAAGGGAGCTTGTTGAGCGAATATGGAACCCATGGCTGCAAGTGATGGTGGGTGAGGGGGGGGACGAAAGCAAGCGAAACGCGCGCAGCCACCGAGCACGACCCCGCGTAAGACACGCGTAACTTGACTCGCTTTCTCACCAAAGTTTCTGGTGACCATCACGCATTGAAGCCCCCCACTATTTCTCTGAAAGTATTCCGACCGATCTTCCGTTTGAATACCTCCGGCATTCGCGCAATTATGATCTGGTTTCACAGCGTTTAAGGGTCGCGCCGACACGGCATCAAGATCGTTTACGTGCAACTGACATCAATGAACGGTACTAAGCTAGTCTATGCTGGGAAGTTCGCTACAGCGTCCAGCGACAACTGCGCGATCGCCTGGCGAACCGACGGCTTCTCCTCCTCCACGGTAACGAGGCGCCAGACCTTACACGCGACCTTGTGCACGGTGGACCAGTCGCTAGATGCAGAGGAGCTCAGTAAGAAGACGCATTCGGCGGTAGACGACAGTTTGATTGCTTACTGCTTCTGGCACTGAGCACCGCAGTACAGGGCGCGCCGGCAGCCCTTGCACTTGCGAAGGCCCTGTCCGCTCTTGAAGACCTGGGCGCAGTGGTGGCAGAACGTCTTCGCCCCCGGCCAAACTGTGAGCGGCGACCTCAGCGCATGTATTTGCGCGGGAGAAAGAGACTCAACGCGCTCAGCGCTGATCTCTCCCTCCCACCCGTTCACGAGCGAACCCGCGTACACGGACTGCGTGCGGATGCCGTCGAAGGGGTAGGCGATACCCTCAGCTTGACCGAGAACGGTAACGGCCCTCACGTTGGGCGGCGCGATGGCCACGCGGTCGGGAGCGAGCTCCTGGTAGACGATCGCGAGGTATTTGGCGCCGGCCGCGCGACGCATGCCTCCCAGAAAGAGGGCTTCGGGCAGTCCAGTAGCGCTGCGAAGGTTCAGCAAAAGTCGCACGAACGACACGCGGGCCGTACGTACTTCTGCGCAAGGACCCCGGCAAAGAGCTGTTGCGAGACAAATTGTATACCCATCATACGTACGAGAGGAAAGAACGCCTCGTTTTGGCTCTCGAAGATCGAAGTGACGACCCTGTCGATGGGTTGCATGTACAGCCTGTAAGCGTCTAGAACGTCCTGAGCCGTCTCCAAATCGCCGTCCTCTTCGTAGATAGCGTCGTCGCGGGTAAAGACGAGCTGGATGATCATGCTCATGGCCGAGAAATAGAGGGACCAGTTCTGCAAACTCAGAGTCAGTAGGGTAGTGAGGGAAGGGGCGAATGCAACCGACGTCGGGCCGTCCATCGGACAAGAGGCTCAGGAGCCAAAGCAAACGAAGCGTCGACTTCTTGAAGCGATCAGCAGAGGCGTAAAGGGCCGCAGGAGGCATGGGTCCGGTCCTGTGGGCGTCGATGTACCGAAGCGGCTGCAAGGCGATGTCGATGTCATCGACTGCGACGAGGCGACACGGGGCTGAGGCGCAGACGTCGCGAAGACGCTCCAACACTTCGATGGCGGCGGGGACGGCGGGGCTCCAGACCATGGTAGAAGAGGACGCGGGCAGTCTTTCGAAGATGTAGGAATTAGGCTGAGGTGGCGAAGCACTGGGGCTTTGTGAGGCGAATTCACCTCCTTAAATACAGCCCCAGTAGGTCGGAACAGCCCGAGCGTCTGAAAAGTTTGGCGGAAAGTCATCAGCTAGGTACTGCAACGAGACAACGCTGGGAAACAAACCGCGAAGCGACATCATGGAGCCCGCCGGGGTAGCTGGCGCAATCGGGCGAGAAGTGCGGCCGTCGCGCGCCTTGCCTAGATCTGAAGGGGACGGGAGTTTGGCCAGCAGCCGGCGGCCAGAGGCGACTCAAGCAATCTACGGACGTACAATGTTGAGCTACCGCATTGGGACGAGTAGATCATGCGTAGCCCACCCCTTCTTTCGGCGACGTGGAGGCCCATAAGCGCCCGTATTCAACGGGTTGATTGTAATCCGGAAGCGCGCGCGCGGCTCTGTCTCTGCACCCCACTAAGCGACCACTGCCCAAAACGATGCTCGCCCCTTCTCCCGCCCGCAACTGCCAGCCTCAGCTCTTTCGACGTCCGGAAGGCTACTCCGGCCCCCCTCTTCCTCGCGGGTGAACAACACGAGAAACCGGCCGCTTGGGTGTAGATCATGTGTAGGACGTAGAGCGCAATATCGGTCAACGTACGTACCTCCAACGTCGCAGTATGCTACAGCGTTCTCATAGCAGGTTCATAGGCTGTTGAAGGGGCACGCGGAGGTGGTGTAAACTCTGCGTATGTTGCGCGCGTTGGGAGGGTTCATGCGCTGCGTTGCGCCACTCGCTGAGTGATCGTGCGTTGGTTTATCCACGTACGTGCGGGTCCACTTCCTAGACGAAGTTCAGCAATAATCTCATCTAAATTGCAGGTGTACGACGTATCGTTCTCTGTTTCAAGATGGTCGATGCGGAGGTCGATTACAAGGTCCCGAATCCTTGCAGATGAGCCGCGGCGCGTGACGTTGATCTCGCTATGAGCCGGTGTTTGTCATTATGGACATCACGGTCGCGCACGCGGTCGCCATCCTGCTCGTTATACTACCACGGGAGCTCGCGCCTGCTTCGCCCGGCGGACTTGATGCCCGCGCGTAACATCTACGACTTGAAGCTTGATGCTTGATGGCGGTCCCCTCGCGGCTCAACATACGGCACCACTTCTTTCCGACCGCCATGGCCCGTTACCCTGACTGCTCGAGATCGCCGTCAGTACTATGGTCTTCAGTTGTCGAGTCTGAATTGCGAAGCTGACGCGATCCTGTAATCTTAGCATACAAGCCGCGCGTCGTTACTACCTCAAGCGCGACCTTCTACTAGGTTCTGTAAGCATGCAGAAGCCGAAGGCTGGAAAGGGGGGTCGCAAGACTGGACGTACTGGGTATGCGCGCCGCCAGTTACGCAAGAAATTGTTGGTTTCCGGGGACATCTGGTGCGCCGACGACTCGCCCCTCGTCCTGCGGTTATTGACTGTTTCTTCAGCGAATACGATCTCAAGTTGGTGATGCGCCGCACCACCCTTGATAGCGTTCGTACGCCAGCTATCACGGCCAATGAGTATCGCATATGGGACGACTATTCTCTCAAACACAAGGAGTGGGGCTCGGACAGGTACAAGTCGTTCTTGTTCGAGGAGAAAGAGCGCCTAGAGTTGGAAGCCTGCGCACTCCTCACTCGACGCAGTGCGTCCACGGGTTCAACGAACGAGGAGGGACCGGAGTCCGAACAGGCCACCCGCTCTTTCTACGCGCTGCGCAGGCTGGTGGCAATCGTGCTGCAAGAACGAGACATGCTTGACATGACTTGGGCGCAGCTCCAGGGAGTGGGATACGACGGCACGTTCATCGCACTCGGTCGGTGGTACGCGCGCAAGCTCTCGATCTGCTGATTAGCAACACTGACTTGACTTCGTCGCAGCATTGTCAAATCAGCGTTTCGCGCAGAAGCAGGCTGGTATACTGAGAAAGAGCTCTTGAGGTATCGGGGGTTGGCTACAGATACGGACTCCGACTTTGATTCAGACCCGGACTCGTCTGATGCGTGACTATTCTATGCGAACTCCTTGTATTGTAGCTGTGCGCAGGCTGTATTTCGCGATTTCTCGCTCTCTGTGATGTCCTTGTATTGTAGCTGCGTCGCCGGACTGAGTTATGCCGGTTTCGCACCTGAGAGCTCTGATACTTGGTTCCGCTGCCAGAGTGCACACGCATGCGCCTCCATAACGTATGCAGCTGGCTTTCTTATCTCTCGTCCATAAAGACCCCCGCCCGCTTGAACGCTGCACGTAGTACTCAAGAGAGACGCAGCGCAGCTTACGCTTTTGAAACAACCGACGCGATTCCACGTTTGAAAAGTACATCATGTGCCTGGCACGAATGCTAAGAGAGGATTATGAATGGAGGGGACACAGGGTAGGGCGGCTATACTCGGGCAACGATAGGCAACGATCAGCAGAAGTCGCGTGTGTGATGTCATCAAAATGCGAACACGAGGCTCACACCTGCCGCGACGACGCGGCCCTGTCAACTAAACGGCGATTACGACCTTTCAAGCTTCAAGGATCAACTTCCTCTCTCGTTGTAATATTTCGCGATGACTGAAACACGAACGGTATGCGCGTTCAAGACGAAAATTCTAGACGGTATTCAAAAGGTGTGGTACCTGAAGATCAAACGGGGCTGCGAAAGCGTAGTAGAAGGCACGAGCATGTTCTTGGCGCAGCACGCTGCGGAGTATTGAAGACGTGAGGATAGGGAAGATGAAGTAGGAGAAGATAGGGTGGAGTTTGGCAACGGAGGAGAGGGAGGAGAATGAAAGTAAGGAGAGAGGCAGAATGGGAAACGTGAAAGCGAGCGGATTAAAGAGCGGATTAGGCGTAGCAGATGCCCAGACCGACCGCGAAGCGTCACCCTACTCGCGAATGGGACGAAGCCGCCAGCTCGAACGCAGCGAAGAAAGGGGCGATCTCCATCGCGCATCACGGCGACGACGCTGAACTGTAGAACTGGAGGTCTGATACGGCATCAGTACCCTTGTTCATCCACGCAAAGTAAGGGCTGCAAACCTTCGAAATCCACCGCGTAGTGGCACAGAGGCGCTACGCCGGAAGGGAGGGGTAGCCCGCCGCGGTCATCAGCAATGACCACGTTCCCACACCTCGCTGGAACCCCAATCCCGCCCATGCTGTCCGGGCTGGTCCAGAACGGCGTGCCGCCCTCGCGGTCAATATCCCGATAGACCAAGATCTGGATGAGGTCGTTGAGTTTGACTCCCAAGGCCTCCCAGAAAGTGTCGTAGTCGCTCAGCATTACCACGTAATCGGCGTCGTGGTACTCGATCTCACAGATAGAAGGAGAAGAATGGCCCTGAGAGATGGTAAGTAAGATAAACAAAGAAACATGGCGGCACGAGCTGAACGTACTTGGGTGTATGCATGAATGCAGAAGGTGAGAGGCTCCACCAGCTCAACGCTGGGGGAGCGAGGACGAGACTCTACGATCTGAACGCTGGGAGAGCGAGATACGCTGGGCAAACGAGGAATGCTTGGAGAGCGAGAACGGGTCATAGGTGTGGTGCGCCTGAGGACCAAGGGTATGGTGGGACGGTAGATAGTCCTCGGGTCGTAAGCGTCGATGCCCGGGCGGCGGTGGCGGCGGCGGTTGCGCTTGGAATAAATCCCGGAAGCCACAGCGTCTTTCACCGCCGCGTCTGAAGCCCGCTTGATGTCGCGCAGGAAGCGCAAGTCATCGTCGTCGAGCGGCGCAGAAACGTACTCGAACAAGGACCCGCCGCCTTGTATGTCGCCAGGGTGTTCCTGGCGGCACTAAGGTGTTCATAAGTCAGCAGGGCAAACACGACGAGAAGGAAGGAAGAAACACATACCGTGATAAAGTACCGCCCTCTGTTGCCGTTGTCGGGCTTGTACTGAAGCTCAGGTCCGCTCAGCGAGTGAAAGTGCCGCTCGCATCGGCCGCGACGGTACAATACGCGCTCCCAATCGACAGGCTTAGACAGAGACGTAACTTCCCTGCGGAAGTTCGCGAGGGAGTCACTGCGTAACGCCTTAACAGTCGGAGGAAGAAGCAGGCTCATGTTGGGGGTGTTGGAGAACCGACCTTCCTGCGCAAGCCTTATACGATAGAGGTGTTGCTGTGCAGGTTCGAAGGTCGCTCTGATTACGAGCTGCATGCGGAGCCGTCGGAATGGGTCGGGCCAAGGGGGGTTGGGGGTTGGAAATATTGTGAACCTGATAATGCCTCGGAGACTTGCATCTGTGTCCGTTTGTCGGACCACACGCCCTCTCGCTGAAACAGAACCCCGTCTCCGTGAGAAGCACTTCGGGTTTACCAGCGACTTGGGTTAGATGCAGCAGACGTACGTTTGGCTTGCGATCACATTCAGATGCAGCGCTACCGACACAGGCACGTACGGGGTCTTGTTCGGCGCCAGTAAGGTTGCCGTGAGTTCTCCGAATACAGCCTGGAAATGAGCGCATCAGATGTACTAAAGAAGCAGAGAATAGAACCTACAGCTTTACATGAGCGCGGTGAACTCTCCAACACATACGATGTCTTTGAAGACAACAAAAAGCTCTCGGGGGGCTCGCATAGATGAATAGACGCGATTTGGCCGGTGCTAATGGGCGGGCAGGAGGGTTTGCTAGTTCAAGTTGGAGAGACGCAGGTGGCATAGCCGGACGACGAATCTCGAGAGAAGCAGGCCGGCGATGGCGCGGTAGTGATCTCGTCGTCCACCAAGGTCGCCGCTAGCGCAATGATGCGCCGTCCGATCACGGATACTTCTGCCCGCACACGCAGTTTCGGCGTGAACGGCGGGCGTGAACCTTGTATTTTCCCTGTGGTGCCGGCCGTGAGTCCGGTTTGACAGCCGTCCCTAAGCCGGTCTCGCAAGGTGCGGGGGGCCCGCATAGACAACTCACCTGAAGTTGTACGGTGGCGCTAGACGAAGGGGTCATCAGGATAAAAGGTCGGGAAGTGATAGTGGTCTTTTTTTTGCTTGAATAGAATTTGTTCATCTCGTAGTCTAGGGAGCGACACGGAATAGCGTGATGCGTTCGGCGCTAGCACGCTGATGCGCAGCTTGAGTAAGAACCCTGCGCCCAGTGGAGTCAGCAAACACACTGTTTGATTGTAGACGCTGCCATACGTACGCGACGCGGCGACAACGATGAGGCTAAGCACAGCCTGCGCATGTGTCTCCATACGATGATAGATTGCAGGCGCAGCGTATCATTCAGACTCAGGGAAGCTGAAAGTCAGGCGCACGGCGTACGTATGCCTAGAACCTGTCCTGACCGAAGATCATTCAGAAAGGTTAAGTTCACAACAGAGTTGGTCACTACGTACGTGCATGAATGCTACGTTGAGACGATGCAGCGTAGACGATTACTGAGAGTGAGGGGCGGAAACGCGCGGGGCCCGCTTCGACGCAGCTTCACCTAAGGGGCGGCTACACCAGCACCCATCTCCGAAACTTCAGAGAAGTCGGCATACCGGCGGTCTCGCATCTTGTTTCTTTTCGTACCCATCTCCCTTGTCCGTCCGCGCTCTCTGCATTCGACTGCACGTCCGTTTCTTATACACTGAACGATGGCCCGCAACGAGAAGAAACGCGCTAACGAGAGCTCCGTCGACAACGCTGACGTTCGCGCTAAGAAGAAGACGTTGAAGGACACATCTGAGCCGGCCAGGATGGGTCGCCCACGAAACGTTGGAGACTCGCAGTACGATCTTATCATCAGCGGGCTTCCCGATTATCTCGCGGAGAAGCAGAAGAAAAAGGAGGGCAAGAAGAGCGACGTCACTAAAGTCTTCAACGATAAGACGTTCGAGTTCATCGCGCACTTCGGTTGGAAGAACCCGCTGCGCGAGGCGCCGAAGGTCGTCAGTCCACCGAGCGCGGAGGCCATCGAAGCTGTGAAGAAGGAGGCGCAGGAGTCGGCTCGCATTGTCGGTGACGCTGCGGCAACGAGCGAGGACTTGTTGCAGGAGCACAAAAGGAGAGACCAGATCGTAACTGATGTACGAAGTGTGAGCTTCTGACAAAAGGCTTCTCAAACGTAGAACGACGGCTTACCTAGAGCAGGAGATCACCAAGATTTACCAAAGGGCTGTGCGCCAGGGCGACAGCGCGCCGAAGACGTCCTTGGATATCCCGAAACTGATCAAGTCCGTTATGTCCAAGCCGTCGCTGCGGCAACTTTATATGGTTTGGGCCAAGATGCAGCCACGCCCGGAACTGGAGCTGGAGGTAGACCGCCGACACGCTGCCGCGATCGAGGTGAAAGGCGAAGACGCGCCGTCACGTGGTGCTATGTGGAACGTCGTCGCGGCTGAGTGGTATAGCGCGTGCAGTGAAGAGGAGAAGACCGCGACGCGTCAGGAGGCTCAAAAGTTCCTAGAAGAGGAGCACAAGAAGTGGGAAGACCAATCGGCAAGCACGCCTTCGACGCCTGAAGAGGCGCTCGAGTGAGTGAAGCGGTCCTGCCGGTGCCCGTTGCTTCAACTCATTCATACACCCTTAGGTTCATGGAGGGCTCGCAGGATTTTTTGAAGGCCATGATGAAGTTCTTTGCGAATCGCGTGTCGGGTATTGCCGTCATGTTCTTGGCCGGCCCAACAGACGGTAGCATGTAAGTGCTGCCCAGCACGGGTTCTGCGCGTATGTTCACTCGTTGTCAGATCCGAAGCCGTGTGCGACATACCGGGTCAACCGAACTTGCTTTACAGCCAAATTGCAGAAGAGGAGACCACGTTATGGCTTATGGGCAATCGTATCAAAGAACAAGCTCGCAAGATGAACGGTTTGTCTTTCACATGGCAGGTTCTAACTGGTGCTAACGCTTATCAGAGTCTAAATGGGACTTGCGGGGCGAAGACGAGCGCGCGACGTCCGACGCCGACGGGGTAGCACCGTTCAGCGAGAGTTGCATAGATCCTGCCCTGAGGGAGGCGACACAGACTTCTCCGTTGAACGAAGAGACAAACGCCGCAGCAGCTTGCGCAAGCCCTGCCACTATGCCGACGCAGAGCGCTGCCATCAGTCCGGCCCAGGACGCAGCCGAGCGAGTACGTGGTCTTTAAATCCTTGGGACAGGTCGTTCAGAACTCTTGACAGGAAGTCACGACGCGCTCAGATGACGCGGAGGCGACATCCCAGCAGGTAAGTGCCTCGCATCGCCTGCTACATCAAGGGCTCATAGTTTCGTGGCATAGCAAGACCAAGAATCTAGCGCTCGCGCCATCGCGGTGAGTTATCTCTCGGCCGTCTTCATGCGCATTGAGAGTAAGAGCCACTTCAGGTCGCAGCTGCGTCGGCGAAGTTGCAGGAAGCGCAGGCCAAAGCGCTGGCTGCGAGGGCAATGGCCGACGCGGCAAACGCGGAGGTTGAAGCAGTAAAAGCTGCTGCGTTGGCTTTGGAAGGCACCGTTGGCCGGCCGCGTTCGACTGACGAGCTCGCGCGGGTCGAACTTGCGCGGACGATAGACGCCTCCCCCGCTCCAGTCGAGAACCGTCTTCGAACTCCAACCGCTGGCGAAGCCGAGGTCGAAGTTGCGAGCGGCAAAGCTAGCGCGCTCGATGTTGCGACAGCCGTTGACGAACCGAGCCTGACCAACGAGCCAGAGCGGATGGAGGTCGACCGCCCAGTAGAGGCGTCTGATTCGGAACACGCCGGCGCTCCTAGTGATACCATCCCCTCTATAGCATTCGACGTTTGCGCATTGTTGAAGGATCTAGACTCAGCAGAGGTAAGCATAGATCTTCTGCGAAGAGAGGCGAGGCTGACCATGTCCGTAGTCTAGGTACATCTCTGCGTACAATGAAACGCTGCTTGCGCTTATGACGAAGAAACCTTGGTGGTCGGAGACCAATAACGAAGCGTTTTTCAAAGCGCTGCCTTCAAAGCTGAGGCGTGGCGGAGTCGACGTTGCTATCGGATGCGAATTGGGTATCGCCTACTTTGGATTCGAGCGAAGCGCTGCAGTGAGCTGACCGTTTCCTCGGTACGGCTGGGAGCCTGACGTCTGTTGTAGGAGGAGCGCACGCTAGGCTTGTTCGCCGACAAACTGATGGACGTTGAAGTCCCAGAATATTTGGCCAAGTTCGGGGAGAAGGGGAGGGTGTGGAACGCGCGATGGCACCAGAGAGCAAAACCTAGTGAGGCGAGGAAGCGGACTGCCCTCGATTGGGACGTACACGTCACATTCCCTCGCCTTTGGGCTTCATTGCAACCTCCCGCTCGACTGAACGAGCGCGGTAGTATAGCCATGCCGGCGCATGCGTCCATGGTTTGGTCTCCCGATGTGGCTGCCGGGAAGGAAGGTGTGCGTGCTCTTGTTGCCACCGTCTTGAATTGGGGGTCCAACGCGGGAGCCGAGCCGAGTGAAGTAGGACAATGGCGGTATGTTGCGGCCGACATGGCGCAGGTGCTGCATGTGCTGGCTGGACAGGCGGGACAGCCTCAGATGACAGAGGAATCGGTGAAGCGTGTCAAGTGCGTACGTCTACTCTGCCCCTCCCATCCCTTCTAATCGCCTCTCGTAGAAAAGTGCCTTTGAAACTTCGCGAGAGCGAAGGGACTGCGTAGACCCTTTCCCGTGCTCGATGTTTTAGACACTCGTTTCAACGTGTAATGAAGAGTTCTGGTCGCCGAAGTTGATTCCAGTTCCGCGCGTGCTGCGTGGGAGTGCACGACACAGTAAGCCGCAATGATGTGCGACGTTGAAGCTGGTTGCAATCCACATGTCACTGCCTCACCAATCTCCTTTCGCGACCGCCAGCCATGAAGACTCCTCCTCTCCACCCCTTCTAGCGGCTTGGGACGGCCCAGGCTTCTCGCCCTGCGCGTTCATGGCTCTACCGCCTTATGCAGAACTATGGCGCCTGATGCGTGAGCTACGAGAGCAACGACAGCGAACGTCGCATGAAGCGGTGCGTTGTGCCATGTGTGTCCTTGCGTAGACATGAGTCCTTATATGTGCTTAGCCGCCTGGGGACTCTGTCGCGAGCGCATGACTAAAGCTTCAATTAGTCCTTGCTCCTCTACGCTGCCTAGACGCTGATCTGTTGGCGCTCTGGGAGACTACGTACACTGTTCGTGCAACGTATCACACGTTGCAGAGCGACAGTCAATTGAAAGGAAAAGCTAGAGCATCGCAGCTTTGGAAAGGACTCCAACGGTCAGAAACGTGTCTGCAGAACGCGTGTGCAGATACCGTTACCAGCTTTAGAACCGCGACTCATTCGGATAATCCAACGTAGTCTCTTGCATTAATGTTGTGTGCGGTCGTGGCTGTTGGTCATGGCTCCCATAGGCCGCCTTCCACCGTGATCTCAGTCTCCGGCGAGAGCCTACGACTGGACCGTGAGCTACAGACGTGCAACAGGCGATACGTAGCGTTGGGCGTAGTGAGGACACGCTGTTGATGAGCCACAGCAACAACGCGCCGCCGTCTCGGCGCAGACGTATCCGGAGCTATACTTATGAAGAAGGGCTCTACAGTACTCACATGAACTGAAGTTGGAGGCCTATGACCTCGTCGATGAGATTCTCGCGTCCAGCTTGATCTGTTTACGTCGAAGGCGTTGATGCCGCGTCGCTTTGCAGCTTCACCACACCTTCCACGACCACCCACATCGTCTAGCTGACTTGCAAACCTACACATGTGAGAATCACGATCGAATACCGTACGCTATACCTGACTTCCCAATCTAGGAACCAAAACGGCGACCAGAATAGGTTCTGGGATTGGGACGGTTGGGAGGAGGCCGGCATCGAGCTTGATTGGTGGGGTGGACGCCCGCATGCTCTCGCAGAAGCCGCTGAATGGGGAGGCTGGGGGGTCGTTGCTCACGACGGTGGCTAGGGAAACGGCGGCGACAACGGCGGATGGGGAAATGGCAACAACAATGGCGGATGGGGAAACGGCAACAACAACGGCGGATGGGGAAACGGCAACAACAACGGCGCATGGGGAGACGGCAACAACGATGGGTGGGGAAACGGCAACAACAACGGCGGATGGGGCAACAACATCAACGGCGCATGGGGAAATGGGAACGATAACGCTGGGTGGAATGGAGGGCAGAACGACGCTCAAGCGGCAGGACAGGCGGCTGGTGGAGAGGTCGCTCCCGAGACGGAAGACGGCGCGGACGTCGAGCTTCCTCCCGTATCAACGAGTAAGCTTACACAACTTCTCTTAGCTATCGCCCTCGCTGAACTTCTGTCAGCTCTTGTCAATCCGGAGGCAGCTGGATTGCTCCATCTCGACATGATAATCTACATCCTTATTTCGTTTTTGCCGCCGTTGGACGAGTTACCGCTCACAATCCTGGGAACGCTACTCAGCACGCAGTGCCTCATCACGATAACGTCGGCTATGGCAGCGTCGCGCGTCTGGTACAGCGCAGCTATGATGACATGCGCATTGTGGGGCGGTCTTATGGTGCTGGCAAGGTCGGAACGGCAATGGATCGCACTGAATGCGCTGGCTCGCGATGCGCCAAGACGGCTCCTATACACCGATCGGCTACCCAACGCGCTGCAGGATTCTGTGTTACACTTAGCTCGCGCTGTTTACGCTCCTGCACTCTCTACGTGGCGCCATTGGGGGGTCGCGCTACAAGGCCGCGCGATGCCATACGTAGAAACTCTTCTACTCGGCCCCAACGAGGACTCGAAGCCCCCCGGTCGACTACCAAGTCCCGACCAGCCTGTATTCGCCCCAAGGCTCAGGAAGCTCCGCATATCGTCGCCTTCCGTGGTGTTAGCATGGAGGCTTCAGTCGTTCGTGGCGTTGAACTTCGCCCCCGACCAAATTGTCGTCGCCATCAGGGAAATGCCCTACCTTGTTCACCTGGAGATTCGCCGCGTGATCTCGGACGACGCCGTAGACTGGACTGCACTCCTGTCAGAGGGGACGTGGAGTATGTTGGAGCACCTCACCATCGTATGCGACGCGCACCAGCATCAGGCATTGGCCTACCGTTCGACTCCCGTTTCTACGCCTCGTCTGCGCGGGATGTACGTGACCTGCGCCGTGCTAGTGGATGCTCCTTGGCTGAAAAACCTTCACGCGGTTCGTGTGCGCTACGTGGATTATGCGCGTATACTGCAACGCGCACATTCAGTCGTGTCTACTACACTACGCGGCTCCACTAGCGTGCGACTACCAAATGTCTACTCCAACGCTTGGCCCACGACTACGGTGCTTCTGGATGCGCTGGAGAGCGTCAGAATCTACGGCGACGTATGCGATCACAAGGGCGACCTGTTCTCGGCCATCTCTATCCCGAACGCACGTGAAATACGCTTGCTATGCGACATGTCGGCGCCTCCAAACCATCAGGCAGTGGTAGAGATCGGCGCGCTCTTACGCATGGTCCTACGCCTGAACTCGGATGTCCCTGAGTTGATGAGGGCGTTGCAGCACGCTAGGCGAGGCTTCAGACTTTCTGGTCACCCGGACCTATCATCGTCCGTAGAACGTCTAATGCGCGAATTTCTTCAGTTGCCGCCTGCAGAGAGGAGGGTCGGGGTTCAAGATTTAGCGGACGAAGTAACACGGCGCATGGACGACCCCATCGCGTCTCAAGCCGACGTTGCGCTACGCGCAGCCGTAGAGGCAGTTGCTCAGGCTCTCGACGTAGACGTTGCCCAAGCTCAAGAGCACTCGGATGCGCGCTTGGTCATCGAGGGCATGACGGACGGCATACACTACACCACGACGTTATCCAATCGCCGCGGCTACTCGCAGACGTTTCTCGTTTGCATGACCCAGCCCAGAACGGTCGTCGGGTTGTCTGGAAGTGCTACGTGGGAGCGGCGAGACTCTCTGACCCTGGCCGCCTCTCGAATGCTAGAGAGTCTTCGACCGTTCGCTGTGAGAAACATCCATCTCAAGAAGGGTTGCGTCGACGCATTCGCAACGTCAACCCGGACCTACGAAGACGTCAACGCTCTTGCTTCAACTCTTGCACGGTACACAGCGCTGCATACCTTGCATTTCACGTTCGGTTTAGCCACCGTCGGTCGCGCCCTCGTGCAGGCCCTAGATTGGCACAACTTACCTGCCCTGTCTACCATACGTGTAGAAGCTCCTGAAGTCGACAGCGCGACACCCAGCCATACTGAGTGGTTCGAGGAGTTGGAAGCCGCCTTGGCGCGTCGGACGGCGAAGGACCGCCGTTTGCAGCTTCTCGAGATCAGAGGCGGCCTCTGCTTATGCCAATTATGGCTCGAGCGTATTCGCTCTTTGGTGGACGTATTGGATGCGCAGGCTGCTTGCACTAATGGTATAAGGGACGTGTGCATCTTCTGCCGTCCGGCGGCGGTTGCCGAGTTCTGGCCATAACACCCTTCACATCTTGTACTTTAGCCAATCAAGTTCACGCGTCGCAATGCAATGCTTAGGGCCTATTGATATGTAGGGAACGGGTCGATTTTACCGGAGGACTAGAGATGATGCTATCGTTGAATGAAGAATACGCGTGTTGTATTAACTGAGCAACGTCCGACGCGCGTAATGTACATGGCCCTACGTTCACAGCCTCTCGGGGCTACATCTTCACTTCGAGCTCCGGCTCCCCGCACGGTGTGAGTTCGCAGACAGCGTCGTCTCCTGTGAGGCCGAGACACAACGAAATTCTGTGGAGGAAAGTGGCGGTCATGATTCAGGTTGAGGCGGCTTCACTCTGCTGGCATCGGACCTCGTGTTAGACAAGACGCGCTTGCGCAGGAGTGGGCGCAACGTACCTTGTGTTACGTCTGGAGTCCTGGACTGCTGGCCCTCTCCGCCTTCAAGAAGTACGTAGCCAGTGCTGTCTGCGCTTGCTCGTCATTGAGCCTGAGGGACGCGATAAACTCGGAATAGACCGCGTCAGTGGCGTCCCGCGCGTCCCGCTCGACGTTCATGGCAACGGGCGCACTCTCGAGGGCCTCTTCATATTGATATCCTTTGAGAATCTGGTTGAAGTCGCTCGTCGACAGACGACCCATCTCTCGTAGGCTCGCCGCGCCCGGATTGAAACCCCTCCATGCGTAGTCAGGTGCGTCTGCCGACTCTACTTTAGCAAGAAAGTCAGTCACATTCATGTAATTTACAACGGAAGGCTAGCCACACACCGGCCTTCGATGATATCTGAGGGCTGGGAGCGCCATCGTCTGCAGTTTCGCCAGCTGCGCACAAAGGCGCGTTGAGGGCAGGAGCACTCATGACGGTTGGGGACGTATCGTGGAAGTGCTTCTCCAAACAAGAACATAACTAATGGTGTCGCTCTGGATATACTTGCAAGTAACATTCTCGTGTGGTATGCACTGATAGTGTAGCCGGAAAGGCGCGTACAGGTTGAATGTTCTTGAGTTCGAATCTTCTAGAGGTCTTTTGTCACTGCATATAACCCTGCTTTTTCGCACGGCATATATTGGCCGGATGTAGGATGTCAAGCCGTCAAGTATATCCGGACACGGTGTGCTATACCTGGCACTGGCTAGCTATCTTTTCCGTGAGAGCTTTCGTACTGAGCTAGACTACCATAGGACTGCCGTTCACATCTGCGTCACAAGTCACAGTGTGATTGTTCGCGCACGCCCGACCTCCAGGCTTCTGCTTGCTCCCACCTCAACCGCGTTCAGCCCCAAGAAACCCCGTTCGGGGTCATCATCATCCTCCGCACTCGCGCAGCTGAGCACAGCCTGCCTGCTACTTGCTCTGAATAGGTTCGTTGCCGCTCATTCTGGATGAGCCTCAACTCATCAATCGCCAGCTCACCGAGAAGTGACATTGCGTGCAACTCTCTAGAACATGGACTACGTTCAATGGTCATGGGACGAACATCTCAAACTTGCGCAGGAGACGTTTCCGGGTCACTGGCCTTCAGACGGTGTCGGGTGCATCCCAGAGCTTGGGAAAGACGCACAGGGTTCCTTCAACGGTGCGTTTACCCCTAGTAATCATTCATACGGAACGCAAGAGAGCTCAGCGCAGTGCACAGCGCTGGAGAGGGTTGGCCTCAATAGTGACATCAAGAAGAACGACGTGTGCGTACGTTGGTTCTTCAGAAGTGTTCACCAGTGATGCGACGTTCTATCAGGCTCTTGTTCTTCGACATCGACAGCGGCGAACCACCTATGCCGGGCCATCAAGCGCTGTTCCGCTACTCGGAGAAAATCCGTGAGGGTACTGTACCGGATCTCCACGGACCGGATGACCCAAGCGCACTGGCTCCGCGGGATGGGGTGGAGATATGCGCTTTACTTGTAAAGCAGGTTGTGAGCTACTGTCTTCCCGGCACGGAAGGCGCGACCTGTACCTGGGCATTGGGGCAGCGCTTCAGTCTGGGATGGCGCATTCCTCCACGCTACCCGCTTCGTTGTATGCGGATCATCAAGTACGCCGCCCGTATTCCGAACCGGTATCGCCAATCGCTGACTTGTTGTAGACCATATCTCGATTATTTGCATCCTCGGGAGCACGTGCTGACGGATCTGTGGCAAGCAGTCCGTCTACACAACGTGGTCGCTGTGGCACAACTGCGCACTCTCCGCGACCGAAACCCGGTGATCCCGCCCCCCGTAGGTACGCCCGAAGCGCCGGTCCTATATTGGAGTCCGGGCTGCTTGTACGGCTTGAACCCCGTGCCTGAGGGGGCGATTAAGCCAGCGCTGGAGTTTCGACAAGAATCAACGATACGCGTCGCCACCTGCTCGTTCTTCGGGAAGGGCTGTAGGCGGAAGGTTTACAATCCGGCTGAGGACCGCATGGTTTGCTGCGTGTCGTGCAAGCGCTGGTACCACGAAGATTGCTCCCTTCGTCCTCTGAACGACGAGGAGTATAGGGGTGAAACCGTCCACTGGCGAGACGTCCGCATCGCAGGCCCCGCTACACGCCGCTGCCCCAACGACGCTGCGCCTGTTTGGCAGGCAGCCCTTTGCGGTCTCGATATGCGCGTAGACCCTCCCGTGCACAGCTGGGAGCGTATTTCCTTTGGGCTCAGGGAAGCAGGGCGCTTGGCTAAGGAAGGGGCCATTTACGACGCCGCCGAGTTCCACGCCGAGTGGCGAGCTGCGGCCCAAGTCAAGCAAGATTCTCCCTTCATGGCACGGTTATCGGACAGCGAGGTGGATGAGGCCATGCTAGTGGTCGAGCGACATGGTCCGGAGATGGCCGCAGGGTTGCGTCGGTTCATTTGCAATTATTGCACGGAATTCATGTAGACTCAGCAGCGTACTTTGAATTCATATGCTTGCGCTGGACGTTGGCGCTTCAAACCCGCAGTCTCTGCGAACGGCCCAACGGCCTCCGCGGTATTCATGACTGCTACAAGCCAGTCTCGATACCTAAACTTCCCCGGCGTTTATTGCCCTTTGCCCCAACAGCTTGATGCTTGCGTTGTCTAGGTAATCACTGATGGTGTCGCGTACAACGCGCCGTGGAATCAGATGGAAGGTGATGCAACAGCTTCCTCGGAGCGCCCTCCATAGAGTCCGCTTCTACCTGAACGCGAAGTCCTCACGTTCATATTCGGAGATATATAACGTACGCTCCCATTACCAGACGGCTACACTTTCCACCCCGAGCTGTTTGTCCATCAGCTGAGCTATGCGTAGGTATTCCCTATCCGAACGCCGAGTCGATGACGTTGACCTTGGCGGCAAAGCGTCCGGAATCGCAGCTCAAGAACCCTCGCCCACTTTGACGCACCGTTACGATGTGAATGCCCTACTTCAAGCATTCACCGATCATCTTGCTCACATGAGTCTCGTATGCGCCAGATACGAGGTGAAAAGGTGTTTCACGAAGGCCTCGACGCGAATGCGCCTATTCCACCCTCGGAGCGTTGGCCTCTGAACGCGTGAGTGCGCTTCGCATGTTGCATTCTTCCCTCTTGTCTCATCGCATGGCCGTCAGTGTTCACATTCTGATGCCAAAATACGGGAGCTTTCCCGCTCGTCGCGATCCCATCATGGCCGACTGCGACGTGTACGAGCGCTCGAACGATGCAATACGCTGCGCTTTGAAGAAGGTGACCGCCATCGTGCGTGAATCAGGACCTGACGAGTACCAGCGCATAATGGAACAACGAGCCTCTCCTCACCTCGAGCCCCTTCTCGATTATTTCAGCCAGTGTGCTGAGGTTGAGATCACTCTAGGGGTCCACTTGCAGAAACAAGAGAACCTCGCGCGGGATGACCCTCGCGTCTTGCGCTACTACCATACAGGCGCAGGATACCTACAACTACGCTTCCTGGCAACGCAGGGCATCAGGGTTTTGCTTGCGGCTATTACGGAGAACTATGTGATACTGGAAGGCAACTGGTGCGCGGTTTATTATGCTGTTGATGCCCAGTCGATGTTTGCTGACATGAGAGCTCCAGCTTCTTGCCCGATGGCTTTTATGACGACTTCAATATTCCTGAGTGATATCCCATGTCGTCCTAACCGTCGTTTGTATACGTCGTTACTGAAATGCATGTTCCTGGTTTACATACGCACTATTCTTTGCCTGAGGAATTCTAGCACGTCGTAAAGCTCTATGAGGGACAGAACGTGGATCTTAGAGAACCTGCTATTCGATGCACGCAGCGGAATTTCGCGATGATTCATCGATCATCAATTCCCCGCCCAAACTCAGGACGCATTGTTCATCGATGTTCACCAGGACAGACGTAGTCGGGAAATCATGTTCTAGTCGTCAGACGCTGTCATTAGACACCTGGGAAGGCGCATACAGTGCACTACGTCGGAGAGTTATGGTATTACACGATCAAATAGTAGGTAGGTACAGTACATTGGCCGAACCACTACGCATGGAAAGAGCAGGGTGAACTTGTTCATTCAGATAACGATATCATAGCAAGACAAGCCCAAGACCAGATAGGGGCGAAATCGCATGTACGCACAAGTCCGCGGCGAACCAGCAACAACACAGACATGCGGACAAAAAGCGTCTCGCATGCCGGCGCGGTCCGACTACGTTTGTTGAGATGGCGGTCATTACAACGACTATGGCAACAGGTGTAATGTTCGCGTTGATCTATACAGCTTCTAAGTCAACCATAATGGTAGAGATGAAAGGTCGGTGCCTAAAAGTGCGAGAACTCACGAACAGCGTCATTGACCGCACGTCCCCGGATGGTGGCCGTGAAGGTGCTGGCGGGCTTGGCGTCCGTGAGGATGGTGTTGTCGGCGTCCTTCGCGACTTCCATGCCAGCAATATACCTGCGCTGGATCTGACGTCCGCTCAAGGCAGCGGACAACCGTCGTTTGTACTACGGCCTGCGGCACCAATGGCCTTGGCTAGTCAATTCAAGGCATCAACTACCGCGCGCTTGTCTTCAGCTTTGGCCAGATGAGGCAGAGGTCGCACGCGTGAGCGTGTGGTAAGGATCTGTTTACATTCTGATCAAACTCGCGTGCACGGAAAGCGACGACTGAGGAAGGCCTACCTCGCCGTTCAAACCGACGCTCGCATCGGCGTGTAGCCAGCATTCCGGTAGCAGATCGCGACACAGTCGGAAGTGTTTAGCTAGCGGGAAGATTGACGATCCTCGAAGGGCCGTCTTCCATTAAGCAGCCTTCGGTTTTGAACCAGCAAAGATGCGCCCGCCGCTATCCGAGCCTGCATTCTCATACGTGCTACTGTCACACGCAATAGACCCTTCGGAGTTGTAGTGAGCTCGGGCCTCTGATTATGATCAAGGTCGAACAGTTCGCGCGTGTAATCCTGTGCGAAGCGCGCTGGGCGTCAAGCCTGGGTCGAAGGTGAGCGCGGTCTCGACTCAGCATCCGTCTCCGCACGTCCGCCGTTGTTCGCGGGGCGTGTACAAACTCCGCGTGAAGGTCAACTGTGGGAGAGGATGATTAGCGACATGAGCAGGTCGAGTAACGTCGAAGCGTACGGTCATCGCCGGTTCGACAGCGCCCAGCCGGCAACCATGCCCACCCATGCGATAAGATCGGCGAGAAGGGTTCTTCGCATCGTCGCGCAGAACTGTCAAGAACATAGTAAGCCACTGGTACTAGAAGAACATAAAGATCGAGCGCTCAGTAAAGCGTCGCTCACCCATGGCAAAGCAACCGTTGAATGTCTCGCTTCCGACTGCGATTGACCCACGCCCTCCAGAGCGCGGGATCCGAAAACGGCGAAGCGGTTGGTGCATCCCCTGAGCGCGTGAGCGCTGAGCTCCAGCGCGCACTTGCGTCGCTTCTCCGCGTGCTTCCTGCCCAGCAGCTCAGGATCTCCGCATGAGAGCTATTGAAGTAGTATATGAGCGCTGATATTATGAGCATGGAAGTAGCGTTGTACCTTCTAGAGACCCTCTGGAATGGCGACAACGGTCGAAGTGACTGTCCTAATAAGAACTCTCATTAACAGAGTGTATCCGAGTCCTAGAACTGAGCTGGTTACGATTAAGTCTCCCAAATTGACGAACGGACGTACCGACACTGTCGTGAGGCGACGGGGCGACGGACTGAAGTCCAAATTCAACCAGTGCCGGTAATCACGCCCGCCCATGCCATCAAGTCAGGTAGAGAATGTTGCGCGAACTGTTTGTTTGCGGAGACGATGGCGGGCAGGAGCAAGGCGCGTGGGGCAAGTCTGAGCTCGGAGCGTCGCCGTCGGCGCAGACCACACACTAGAGCGCGGCATGCCGCAGCTGAAACCTAGATGGGGGAAGCTTGGAACTTTTCGTACGCCTGAATTATGGGCTCAATTCCATTGCTACGAGCTTGAAGGTAGCGGCGAGCTCCGCTCGCTCCAGCTGGCGCACTGGCAAAGGACTCGCCTTTGAGACCGGCTCCGGCGCGACTGGTTGATGGACCCGACGGGCCGGGCCGCGCACTTCTCAGTTGAGCTGTTCGACTATTCTGAGCCCACACAGTCACTGCTATATATTGCACTACAGATCATACTTAGGAGACGAAAACGTAGCGAGACGCCCAGACATTGATCGGATCATGACGCACCCGGAACTGCGCGTCTCTT